TTCGAGGTGGTACACAATCTAGCCTCGCCAAACCTTGTACATGGAACAAATAAAAGCAGATAAAAACCACAAAGAAGAAGGAATACCAAAAAAAAAGAGCAAAGAGGGGAGAAATAGAATAGAATAAGATGATGAGAAAAGCAAAACCATAGATATGGCTAATGCGATGCGTGACGCTTCCTCTGACTGCCAATCTGGAGTGCACATGAACATTAAGACCCATGAAAACACACCATCGATGCCGGCAATGGAGTAGAAAACTACAAGCGAGATCAAATATCTTTTGTCTCCAGCTATGGAAATTTTGTCATGTCTCACATACATGAACGTTGCATCATTCAAGGCTATCAAAAGGATGTGCATCACCATGTCGTAGATTACGTGTTTGCTCTTCCTGTATATATCCTTTAATGACAAATACACATCCATGGTTATATTAGCAAATCTAACTTTGTAGGGGAAAAAATAGAGTCATGGACTTGGAGCAGGATTCATGGCTTCGTCGATTGCTATTCCAGAATCAGGATTCATGGCTTCTTTCTATTAGTGGCGTACGTGTATATATGTGATATTGTGAATATATTGAAATGTTTAGTCAAGCAAGCCACATACTGTATATATCAGTTTCGACTTTCGAGTATCTATCTTGGGATAAAAAATGGAAGCATCAAACTTTACAAAAAAAAAAATTCATATGTCAATAAGAAAATCTCCTTGGTTTTGATTAGTCGAAAAGAAACATTAACAAATTGTTTGTTCTCGATTTTTTTTTTTAGTTATTCTGACTTTCTAGAAATATATCAAATATCTTGATTAAACAAACAAAAAACGTTATTCGTTTATTAAAAAGGATAGTTGCGAACTTTTTATATGGTTTGGTTTTCCAAGTATCCTTTAAATTTTCGTTAATTCCATATCCACCATTATTTTCCCTTATTTGATTATCTATTGGGGGAAACAAGGAGAATGTGGGACGAGACGGAAGACGAGAGGAAGATGTTTGCATATTGGTGAGATGTGGAGGGAGGAA